ATTTCCCCCATGACAGTTCCATACGTGTGTACAATGAATTTTAGTGATTTCCCCCATGACAGTTCCATACGTGTGTACAGTGAATTTTAGTGATTTCCCCCATGACAGTTCCATATGTGTGTACAGTGAATTTTAGTGATTTCCCCATGACAGTTCCATACGTGTGTACAGTGAATTTTAGTGATTTCCCCCATGACAGTTCCATATGTGTGTACAGTGAATTTTAGTGATTTCCCCCATGACAGTTCCATATGTGTGTACAGTGAATTTTAGTGATTTCCCCATGACAGTTCCATATGTGTGTACAGTGAATTTTAGTGATTTCCCCCATGACAGTTCCATATGTGTGTACAGTGAATTTTAGTGATTTCCCCCCATGACAGTTCCATACGTGTGTACAGTGAATTTTAGTGATTCCCCCTATGACAGTTCCATACGTGTGTACAGTGAATTTTAGTGATTCCCCCTATGACAGTTCCATATGTGTGTACAGTGAATTTTAGTGATTTCCCCCCATGACAGTTCCATACGTGTGTACAGTGAATTTTAGTGATTCCCCCTATGACAGTTCCATACGTGTGTACAGTGAATTTTAGTGATTTCCCCCCATGACAGTTCCATACGTGTGTACAGTGAATTTTAGTGATTCCCCCTATGACAGTTCCATACGTGTGTACAGTGAATTTTAGTGATTCCCCCTATGACAGTTCCATACGTGTGTACAGTGAATTTTAGTGATTCCCCCTATGACAGTTCCATACGTGTGTACAGTGAATTTTAGTGATTCCCCCTATGACAGTTCCATACGTGTGTACAGTGAATTTTAGTGATTTCCCCATGACAGTTCCATACGTGTGTACAGTGAATTTTAGTGATTTCCCCATGACAGTTCCATATGTGTGTACAGTGAATTTTAGTGATTTCCCCCATGATAGTTCCATACGTGTGTACAGTGAATTTTAGTGATTTCCCCCATGACAGTTCCATATGTGTGTACAGTGAATTTTAGTGATTTCCCCATGACAGTTCCATATGTGTGTACAGTGAATTTTAGTGATTCCCCCTATGACAGTTCCATATGTGTGTACAGTGAATTTTAGTGATTCCCCATGACAGTTCCATACGTGTGTACAGTGAATTTTAGTGATTTCCCCCATGACAGTTCCATACGTGTGTACAGTGAATTTTAGTGATTCCCCCCATTGCCTCTCCTTCTGTTGAAGCTGTCTTCTTTCCAATATGTCCCCCTCCTACACTTGTGATGTGTGTGTGAGGGTGTGTGAATGTGTGTGCACGTGTGTGTGTATCTCACCTAGTCTAGGGTTGCTTGCAGGAACACGGGTGGGAGGTTATTTGCTGGCGCACTGGTGGCTCACACGTGGCTGTACCACTGGAGAAAGAAAGGGACACCCATTCTCCAGCCACCACTAACTGTCGATAGTCCCTCATACAGAGGGTGGGGCCACTCGAGCTCCTCCTGTTTCCATGACGAATGTTGACAGGTCCCATCTTGTACTGGTACCCACAGCTCCTGTGACATGGACTTTTATATTGCTATTGTGCCTTGTGTCTGCATTTAATCTTTCAATGAAAACCTGGCTAATATGGTTTCTTCATCAATCTATTGGAAGGGTCAATGAGAGGCCTTGAGGGGACATCAGGAAAACTCCATACAGGGGGAGTGGTGAGGTGGCCATTCTTTCTCTCTGTTTTCTTGAGGGAGCCCAAGGCCTTCTGAAGCATGGTGCCATGGCAGGAAAGCTGGGCTGGGGGAAATATAATCTTTTCTCAATTCCTTTATTTCCAACATCTAGATCCTGTCCTAATGGTTATACATGCAATAAAACCTCATTTAACCCCGACTATAATTATACGAACTTTGACAACTTCGGCTGGTCTTTTCTTGCCATGTTCCGGGTTATGACTCAAGATTCCTGGGAGAAGCTTTATCGACAGGTTCCTGTTTATATTCTCTCTTCCTCCCCTGTGCCATCCTGACTTCTCCCCTGCATTACCAACTCGTTTATCATGGATTTAAAGCCTGCCCTCCAGCTCCCACTTTGCCATCTATTGCTTATTTATAACAACTGAATTCTGCTTCAGAAATTGTGTCAGAAACTCCAAGGCAATGAAAGAGGTGTTTGAAAGAAGAGTACAAACAGATCTCTTTCTACACACATTACCCCCTGCCTATGTTTCCACCCTTAGCAATATTCTCTCTTTCTTCTGCCTTTTCTATTTGGAAAGCCTGAGAGAGTTATGGACAGTAAAGTCAGGGAGACTGACCTCTCTGTAAATGTATGGCAGTTCCACTGTGAGAGAGGACGTTAGGAGTCACTCTGTGACTGGGAGCCTGGAAGGGCTGTCCAACCTTTTGGATTCTCTGAGTCACAGTGGACCAAGAGGAATTATCACAGGCCACACTGTGCTTGCAGATTGCGAGATCACACACATATTTCTTTTGCATGGTGTTGCCACAGGACTTTGTCATCCACAGAGTTCTCTCTTCAGAACTGTGCAGCTGGGGCTGGAGAGATGGCTCAATGGTGAAGAGCACTTGCTCTTCTTGAGTTCAGTTTCCAGCAGCCACGTCACACAACTCACAACTGTCTATCACTCCAGCCCTAGGGGACTCAATGTTCTTTTCTGGTACATGTATACAGCACACACCCTCACTGACATACACACAAAGAAAAAAATCTTTAAAAAAAAAACCCCATGTGACTGAGTTATAAAATATTGCAAAATAGCTCATATTTTAAGTAAGTTCACTGTTTGGGGTTGGGCTGCATTCAGAGCTGTCCTGGGCCACTGGCTGGACACTCCTGCCAGAAGCCCGAGTATCTGAGATGTATTACCATGCCGGGACTATGGGAGATACAACAGATACAAGCTGTGTTCGTCCCTCACAGATCCTCCGGACCTCTGGAATCTACTTTGTCTTCTTCTTCGTGGTGGTCATCTTCCTGGGTTCTTTCTATCTGCTCAACTTAACCCTGGCCGTTGTCACCATGGCTTATGAAGAACAGAACCGGAATGTAGCTGCAGAGACAGAGGCCAAGGAAAAGATGTTTCAAGAAGCCCAGCAGCTGTTAAGGGAGGAGAAAGAGGTGGGGCTTAGACAGTGGGGCCTGCTATAGGGCCACAGGGGACCTGAGGCAGTGTGATGGAGGCCAAAGGCTGCCTGTCCTTTGGTACACCGCGCACCCACCCTGTGTTTTACTGAGAATTTGAGTCCTCTGCAGGCTGGCTGTGCGGCCATTATTCTCAAACTGATCTGGAACAGGATTCTTGAGAATGTGGTCTTGATGCTTTTCGAATTCTGAAAGTTTGTACCATCTAGAACATGCACCAAATTACTGACTACTGAATGTAACTTATTTATGTACAAATTCAGGCTCTGTTGCAAACTTTCTTATGTGAATCTCAAAGTCTTTTTGTTCAGAACCTTTGCATGGTGGAAGGCTGGGGCTCTACTACATAGGCAGGCTTGTTCTTCCATTCCTGGAACCCATCACAGTTACAGGCCACCCCAAGAAGCTTACCTGGCATCTTACATTCTGTACTCCAATTCTCAGGGTAGGAGCTGTATTTTTACACTCTGCATTATCTTTTGCATAATACAGATTGGTCAGATGGAAGCCTGTAGTGAGACCTTAGTGTCCCCAGGCATAAATATATATCATCCCTAGCACAGCCTAGGGTTAATCATGGGGAACTGTACAAGAGTTAACCCTGACTTTGATGACTGCGAGGTCTGTGCAAAACCAAGCCACTCTCTGGATGAACAACAGCCCAGCTAACACATTCAAATGAGGCAAGGAGTGATCTGAAGGGTTCCGTATGATGGGAGAGAGGAGAATAGCTCACTGAGGTTGAGGTCGTCTGCATGTTCATGGGAAGGAATAATCTGCTCATTAATTGCTTCTGTTCTCTTTCAAAGGCTCTGGTTGCCATGGGAATCGACAGAAGTTCACTTAATTCCCTTCAAGCATCGTCCTTTTCTCCAAAGAAGAGAAAGTTTTTTGGTAGTAAGACAAGAAAGTCCTTCTTTATGGGGAAGTCTAAGAAGAATCGAGCCTCAGCATCAGATTCAGATGATGATTCCTCTAAAAACGTAAGTCTTCTCCCAGGGACCAGCCGTCCTGTTGTGCATGCAGGGCCATAGAGAAGGAATTCCTCTCTTCATCAGCGTCCCACAGGGTCAGCGAGGGCCAACGATAATGGCACAAGATAGCCAATGGACTGTCATCACAAAGGCTATGAGCCATGGAATTGAGGGGACAAGCCATCTCCATATGCTGTCGCACAGGGACAGGGCCAATAGGCTTAGAGGCTGAAAGACACGTGGTACCAGGGAGTGACACAAGACGAATCCTCATTTGTGGGAAAATGGCCAGAAGGGAAAGGAAAAATCTTATCGATCCAGCAGAGTGAAGAGTCCCCAACGGTGCTCCAGCCTGAAGAATGGCAGATGGTACAGGATCCCAGAGCTCCTCAGACTGCCAGCAGGCAGGAGAAAGCAGTGGGATTGCCTGGTGACATTGGGCGCCAATGTTATGAATTATTGCGCGGAGTGGGGAACCCCTAGAGTATCCCAGGCATGCAGGAAAACATGCTGGGCAGATGCAGCCTCAGGTCGGGCGAATGAACACCATGTGGGCATGGTGGTGGAAGCCAGTAATTCACAACCCAGATGCTGCATCCACATGGGGAGTTTATTATAATAGAGAGATGAAGGAAAGAGATGATAGGAAAGAGAGAGACAGAGAGAAAGAGAGAGAAGAAGAAGAGAGAGAGGTCGAGGGTGCAAACCTCGATGGAGGAAAAATGAAAGAGAGAGGAAGGGGAGGGGTTTTTCCTTAGAATGAGGCTTTTACGTCAGGACACAGGGTGTTGCCAAGGGAATGGGATTTCAAGGGGCGGATCAGAATATTAACAGTAGCAACCCACAGGTGGAGAATCTCTGCCTTACACTGTGGAAACAAAGTTAGACAAAATGAAAATTTGAGTGGTTTTTTTATTTGATTTTAAAATGGGTCACAAAGCAGAGAGACGACTCATGACGTCAGTGACTGGCCCAGAGACTCCTAGTGACTGTACAGTGCAGGTCCAGTAAGTCTTGCAAAGGAGACAAGAGGCTTCAAGATGAAGGGCATGGTAGCCAGCCATCGGAGCTGGCAGTGGTTGATGGGCAGCAACCATCAAAGCGCCTCCTTTTCCAACTTGAGAAGGTGCCAGTGGACTCAACAGGGACCATTTAAGGTCATTTGACATTTGAAGCACATTGGAGAGCTGGGAAAACTCAACAGTGGGTATCTTATGAGTTGACTAAAAATCTAAAAAACATGTTCTGAACTCATGTTATACAACAACAGACCATTTCTCTACTGAATTGTGACATCCGAGGACCAGGTACATACAACACCCAGCGGTGACTGGTTAAGACAAAGCGCTTTCAAAAACCAAGCCTACTTCAGAAAAAGTCCTGGGCACTCTTTGGTGGTCTGCCGCCAGTCTCATTTCCTGAAGCGATGACATCACATGTGAGGGGTGTGCTCAGTAGAGGAGGGGCACCCCAAACCGCACCACCTGCAGCTGGCATGGACCAACAGCAAGGGGCCAGTTCTTTCCCACTACAAAGCCTGAACACACACCACATAACCAAGCCTTCAAAAGTTCCGTGAATAGGGAATCAATTTTGTCTCATCTGCCGCCTTCACCTGGTCTCACCAACCTTCTATCATGTCTTCAAGCATCTTGACAACTTCTTGCAGGGAACACAATTCCACAGCCAGCAGGATGCAGAGAAGGCTTTCTGAGCGTCCATGGAACCCCAAAGCAGGGATTTGTATGCTATTTGGATAGACAAACTTAGTTCTTGTTGGCAAAAACATGTTGATGGTAATAGCTGCTATTTTGACTAATGAAGGTATGTTTGAGCCTAGTTATATGATTTAAAGCTCTCTGTCTGAAACTCTAATTTCTTTCTCAACAAGCCAAACACATCAAAGAGAGGGGATTGGAGGAGAGACTAGAGGAAACCAATTAAGACGTTGCCACAGTAACCCCAAGCAAAAGGTGGCAGCAGCTTGCATGAGGGCTGGAGCAATGTGTAGCTTTTCCTGTGGAGAATAAAACATCTCCTCACCCAGGTAGGGCATCAGTGACAGTTCAAAGAAAGAATTCCATCCAAGCCTAGCTTGGTGACCCAGTGATTTTTTGGGGTGTCTAATAGGCACATTGGGGGACGAAAACACACCTGTATTGAAAATCCCTCCCCAGTATGCGTGATGACTCCCAAAAGTTAAATACCCAGGAGTCTATGGACAGCTGTGTCCAGTCAGCCAGAGTCTGCTTTCTCCAGCAACTGTCTACTGCTTTTACAGTCTCATAGAAGCAGGTCAAGTGAGATGGCTCCTGGGGTAAGGGAATGTGCTCCTAAGCCTGCGACCTTACTTTAATCCTCGAGACAGACCCAGTCGCTTCAGGTTGTCCTCTGACAGCTACTCAACTCATCTGACACATGCACTTGCAAAGTAAAATGTTTTACATCCTCATGACTTGGCCTTGTGGATCTTTTAATTTTCCAAATCTCATGAATCTTGAGGGTTTCCTTAGCTTTCTGAGTCTTAGGGAGTCTCCCTCCTTCTGGGAGGGAGTGTTCAAATTAGTAGGGCAATATCAAAAAGCATCGATGAAGTGAGAAGGTGATGCCTGGTGAATGAGTTGAATGGGAGTGGACTCCAGGCTTGTGGCTTAAAGTTGGTGATTTGTTGAGACAAGAAAGGACATTACTTCAGAGGTAGAAAAGGTGGCTAGTTCCGTTTGGATACGTAAGTGTTGAGGTGCCCATGGGCCATCCTAGCAAAGATACTGAGTAGGTAATGTGATATACAGAATTGAGATATGGGTGATGCTCACTAGTAAAAATTATTCTTCTTTTAAAAATTATATGCTAGTATTTTATTAATCCTTCAAAGTTATTCTTATCATTAGGTAGAGAGTATTTTGTTTGCTCTTTGTTGAAAGTGAATATAGCCGTAAAACATAAGGCCAGACTCCAGAAATGCATGTGTATAAGGACAGCGAAGGACCAAATCCCCTTTCTCTGGTCTGTTCCACATGGGCAAAGAAAACTGGACATCTAACATGCTGTGAAGACACAGTGAGCACTCTGGACAAGGTGCTCAGCATCTTCCTTTGACGTCTTTATGAAATTCGGGGAGTGTCAACTCCTGCCTTTAGAAGGCCCACTATGCTTTCTCTTACAGCCACAGCTCCTTGAGCAAACCAAACGACTGTCGCAGAACTTGCCAGTGGACCTCTTTGATGAACACGTAGACCCCTTCCACAGGCAGAGGGGCACTGAGTGCCGTCAGCATCCTGACCATCACCATGCAGGGGTAAGTTCTCCCTTGGAAGGGAAAGCCTGACTTATTTACATCCCTCCAGAAGCCCCTCACAGGGGAGGTTTCTTGGGAACCAGCCCACTGTTGCCATACTGTGGAGAGACTCCTCGTGTCTCAGGAGCATGTCAGCAACGTGGCTGGAGTGAAATGGTCCTCCCTGAGAGTTATGCTCCCCCCTCCCCAGGATGGGCCCCTGGCTGGAGAGTATAGACAGCCCCTCACACACTGGCTGGGCAGCCTCAGGAGGTCTGAATGACAGCAGTCAGCCAAAACCAGAATACTCAAGACCTTGCCAGGAAGCGGTAGTAGTTATCAAAGTTAGAGCCAGGAGTCTGGTATGGGCCAAAGAAGGCCATATAGTTGAGCCAAGACCCTTTACTAGCCCTGATTAACAGCAAGCAGTGGAGCCCCAGGCAAGGGATAGATGCTCAAGACCATGAAAGGCTGGGAGTGTACGGGCCCCTTTAGCACTTTTGAATAATTATATGCCCGTAGTTGGCCTTTGCGAGTCCCTGAAATGGAATCCAGCAAATTGGGGGGTGCAGGTACTTAAGTGCCTGAGCTTAAGTAGCCGACAGAGTGCCTGTGTTTTTTTTTTGTTTGTTTGTTTGTTTTTTGCTTTTTTTTTTTTCATTTTGGCAACAAGATAACCTGACAAAGGCTTGCCTAAGGAAGGAAGGAAGGAAGGAAGGAAGGAAGGAAGGAAGGAAGGAAGGAAGGAAGGAAGGAAGGTTTATTTTTGTGGTTATAGTTGAAGAGCTCTATCATGATGAGGAGGTCCTGGAGGCAGGAAGGAGAGGCTACTAGTCACATGGTGACCTATAGTCAAGAAGGACAGGGAGGGACAGGGGGAGAGACAGAGGGAAAGAAAGAAGGGAGGGAGGGGGAGAGAGGGAAAGAAGAAAGGAAGGAGGGGGGAGGAGAGGGAAGGAGGGGGAGAGAGGAAAGGAGAGGAGGGAGAAGGGAGAGAGAGAAAAGGAGGGGAGAAGGGAGGGAGGGAGGGGAGGGAGGGGGAGAGAGAGAGAGAGAGAGAGAGAGAGAGAGAGAGAGAGAGAGGATTGCTAGTGTTCTTGATTTCTTTCGTTTAATGCAAGCCTCTGCCATGAAATGGTGCCCTCTACATTTAAGGTAGGTCTCCCCCAACTCTGTTAATCTAGGGAATTTCTTCACAGACATGCCCAGAGGTTTGTGCCCTTGGTATTTCTAGATCCTGCCAAACTGACAGTCGACATCAGCCATCACGTACTTTCAATTGTTCTAGCCTTCCCTGACCCTTTTCTTCTCCGAAGCTCCGGCCACCCCTCGTGCAGGTATAGCCACTACTGTACACTCTCTTAGGAGCAGAGTCTACGCTACCTCTGTCTCTCTCACGAACTTGTAGCCAATCTGTGTGGCCTCTGCATCTGTGTCTGATATACTTGACTTTGCAGCCTTCTAGCTGTCTGCAGAGATTATCTCCTCTGTGACCTGATGACTAGCCACCTGTCTCAAAAAACCCTGGAGAAGAGGGAGGAGGGGCGGACGCAGGCGGAGAGCAGCTGGGCTGGGTCAGGCAGACACCTTACCCATCCTTCCGTTCTCTTCCAGAACAAGAAAGATCCCAGGAGCCTTGTCTCCCATGTGGGAAAAACTTGGCATCTAAGTACCTGGTGTGGGACTGTAGCCCTCGGTGGCTGTGCATAAAGAAGGTCCTGAGGACCGTGATGACAGACCCCTTCACTGAGCTGGCCGTCACCATCTGCATCATAATCAACACCGTCTTCCTGGCCATGGAACACCACAACATGGATGACGCTTTTATAAATCTACTGAAAATAGGAAACTGGGTAATTTTAAGCTCTTGTAAAGCATAAAGAATTTTGAATCATAACTCTGTTGAAGTGCAAGCATTTTCAGTAACAAAACCAAACCATAACCTTGGTTCCTGTAAATGGAATAAAGGCAGAATGTGACTTTGGGTCTGAGTTTTTGCTCAGGTTGCCTCTGTGGTTTTCCATGGACCTCAGTTTAACCTTCTAGCATGGTAAGGTCTCTTTAGCCATGTAGAAGCCATAGTAGACAATACTAAAAGTAGCATTGTGAGTGTTTGAAAAATTCAGAAGATGCTAACCAGGGCTGGGAATGTAGTTCAGTTGGTAGAGTGCCTGCCTAGCCTGAATGAAGCCCTCGGTTCAATCCTCAGCACCACATAAATTAGGTATGGTAATGCATGTCTGTGATCCCAGCACTCAGAAGGATCATAAGTTCAAGGTTATCCTCAGTCACATAGCAAATTCAGTGTTAGCCTGGGCTACATGAGACTCTGTCTCACAACATTCCCCTCCTCCCACGAAAACAGAAAATGTGAACCATCTCCAGAGACCCATAGCAATGACCTCCATGGCCCCTGTGTTACTGGGGACACCGTTGTCATAAAACAATGCAGCTTTGATTCGTAGGTGAATTCTCAGGAAGATGAACCAGGCCTGCGGATTGGGAGGGTCGTGTTCCTGAAAGTGTATTAATTGTTTGGGGGAGGAGGGGGGTGGGGACTTCCTGGGTGTGAGTCACTGGTTCTTACTGAACAGATCGAGTCTTGGTTTAAAATGGAAAATTTAAGATAGGGAGGAGGCCAAACTTTGAACAACTGCTCACTTTCATTCACGGTTCCTGCGGGAGGCATCTTTCTTTCCTCAAGGGAAGACGAGTCTCTCATGTATCAGATACAACACACAATTAGTCAGTGGCTGTTTTACTCTAATTAGCTAATGGATCAATGGATTGAAATCTTACCAGAATATCCAGTCTTTTCCTTGTAAAGTTTCATTTCTCTAGCTGAAAAAGCAATACATACTTTTAAAATGTTATAATAAGGAAACTCTCCAGTTTATGTATTTTCTTGGGGTGGGGATAGCGGAGAGAGAGCAGGAGGAATGGGGGGAGGGCCGTGAGGAGGAGGGACAAGAAGAGTCTAATGGCATGCGTGTGTCAAAGTGTCATCATCAAACTCACTGCTCTGTATGATAACTTAAGAAATTAATAAAAGTAGCTTAAAGCAGAAATGTAGCTGGAGGCAGAGTGTGGGTCTCCAGGGTGCAGCCATGCCTCAGCAGTCAGAGGCCCTGCTTTTAGCGCCCTCCCTGTGGGTGCAGCCACGGTAGTACAGTGAGGTGCCTGCAGCTGTGTGCCTGGACCTTAGGGGCCGCAGCAGCCACCCTGACTTAATGATCTCTTCTCAACTGCTCTGGTCCCCCAAGCCACCCTTCAGCAGGAGTCTCCTTTGTCCCTTGCAGGTTTTCACTGGGATTTTCATGGCAGAAATGTGTCTAAAGATTGTCGCACTGGACCCCTTACCACTACTTTCGCCACGGCTGGAACATCTTCGACAGCGTTGTTGCCCTTGTGAGTCTCGCTGATGTGTCTTCTCAACAGCCTGTCCGATAACAATAGTCGCTCAAATCGCAGGTTCTTGGCTTCCTTCAGAGTGGTAAGTCGCTTTCTTCTGTCTTGTTTTTCTGTTTTAAACTTATTTTTATTGTGCATGTATGTGGGTGTGTGCACGTGTGTGGGTGTGCATGTGTGTGGGTGTGCATGTGTGGGTGTGTGTGCACGTGTGTGGGTGTGCACGTGTGTGGGTGTGTGGGTGTGCGTGCAGTGTGCACAAATGGAGGTCAAAGGACAGCTTGCAGAGCTGATGACGCTCTTCTACCCTGCAGATCCTGGGGCTCAAATTCAGGTTGTAAGACTTGGCAGGAAGTGCCGCTATCCACTGAGCATTTCACCTGTCTCCCTCCCCCTCCCCTCCCCTCCTCCTCCCTTCCTCCTCCCCTTCTCCTTCCCTCTCTTCCTCTTCCCCTCCCCTCCCCTCTCTTCCCCTCCTCCCCTCCCCTCCCTTCCTCCTCTCCTCTTCCCCTCCCCTCCCTTTCCTTCCCTCCCTTCCTCTTTCCCTCCCCTCCCTTTCCTCCCCTCCCCTTCCTTCCCCTCCTCCTCCCCTCCCCCCTCCTCCCCCTCCCCACTTTTCTTCCTTATTCTCCCTAGTCCTTTCTTTTTGAGACAGGGTCTCACTCTGTAGCCCTGGCTGTCCTGGAACTCATGTAGACCAGGCTGGCTGTGAATTCCTATGGATCCACTTGCCTTTGTCTCCCAATCTAAAGGTGTGTGCCACTACACCTGGCCCCGGCCCCCCTTCTTATTTATTGTATAGCTTAACATTCTGAATAGAAAAAAATTCTTGAGTGGGGTTCAACGACTACCTTGGACTAATCCATCTAACCTTAATTACATATATCCAAAATTTGCATATATCCACCTCCCTAGGTAGCCCAGGCTGGCCTCAAATTCCCAATCTTCCCAAGGCTGGGGATTCTAGGTGTGTGCCACCATAAACAATCTAGTTAAGGTTGATTTCTTAAAAACAATTTTAAAAAGTTTTATGTATGTGTATGTGTGTGTCTGAATGCATGCCACATGTGTGCAGGTGCCTGGGAGGCCAGAAGGTCACATCAGATCTGGATGCCAGGTACCCAGTGTGGGTGCTGGGATCTGGACTACCATTCTCTACAGAGCAGTACATGTTTCTTGACCACTGAGCCGTCTTTCCAGCCCCAGAACAAGGCATTTGCTATTTTGAAATAAAAAGGTAGGGCTAGTGAGATGGCTCAGCCGGGGCAAAGGTGCTTGTTGCCAAGCCTGATGACCCGAGTTTGATCCTTGGGCCCCACATGGTAGAAGGAGAACTGACTCCTGCAAGCTGTCCTTAGACCTCTTGTGGTGATACATTGTGTACTCTAATAAAAATCTGCCTGAAGATCAGAGAACAGAACAAGCCACCAGATTAGACACAGAGGCAGCAGTGGTGGCACACACCTTTAATCCTAGCACTCGGGAGGCAGAGATTTGTCTGGATCTCTGAGTTCAAAGCCATCCTGGGCTACATGAGATTGATCCAGTCTAGGGGAGAAACAGAGCCAGGCAGTGGTGGCACACACCTTTAACCCCAGTATTTGGGAAGCACACACGCCATTAATCCCGGCACTAGGAAGGTTGAGATAGGAAAGTTAAATGGCTGGGCGGAGAAACGCATATAAGGCATGAGGAGACAGGAACTAGAGCCTTCCAGCTGAGGACTCAGAGGCATTCAGTCTGAGGATTCGTGAAGACAGGATCAGCTGAGGAGTCGGCGAGGTGAGAAGTGGCTGTGGCTTGTTTCCTCTGATCTTTCAGCATTTACCCCAATATCTGGCTCCGGGTTTTTATTATAAAACCATTTAGAATTTGTGCAAAAACCTGTGTTTCTAGTTTTATTCTGCTACTGTGATCCAACACTTTGACCCAAAGTTACTTAGGTGAGGAAAGGTTTATTTTGGCTTATACTTCCAGGTCATAGTCCATCATTGAGTAAAGTCAGGGCAGGAACTCACTCACGGCAAAGGAATCAGAGCAGAAACCATGGAGGGATGCTACTTACTGGCTATCTAGCTCACAGACCCATGCTAATCTAGTTTTCTTACATAGCACAGGCCTACCTGTAGCCAGAAGTTTCTCGGCCTGCCCCCCCCCCCGCGCCCCCCCGCCCCCGCCCCCCCGTGGTCCAGACAAATCTCTCTCACCTGTGGTTTGTAGCCACTCAGACCCAAGTAAACACACAGAGGCTTAAATTATTTGCCAACTGTATGGCCTATGACTTTAGTTGCTTGCCAGATAGCTCTTTCATCTTAAATCAACCCATTTCTATAAATCTATATGTTGCCACCTGGCCATGGCACTACTGGTCTGCTGACATCTTGCTGTACCTCTGGTGATGGCTGGAGTCAGTCTCTCTCTCTCTCTCTCTCTCTCCTCTCTCTCTCTCTCCCCCTCTCCTCTGCCTTCTTCTTTCCTGTCTCTCTCCTTGGATTTCCTGCCTGCCTCTAAGTTGTCTTGCCATAGGCCAAAGCAGCTTTATTTATTGACTAGTGGGAACAACATATATTTACAGTGTATAGAAAGATATCTCACAGCACTCACGTGTGTAGGGGTGATGCTGCCCACAGTGGACGTGTTCAATCTGGACCTGGACAGTCCTTCAATGGAGGTTTCCTCAGATAACAGCTGAGGCCAACTAAGACAGCCATCAGATGTATGTGTCCCCCTTTCCACAAATAAATGAATAAACATAATTTTTAAAAGATTTGAATAGGAGCTGAAGAGATGGCCTAGCAGTTAGGAGCACTGGCTGCTCTTCCAGAGGATGCAGGTTCAATTCCTAGCACCTACATGGTGGTCCATAACTGTCTATAATTCCAGTCCGAGGGGACATGACTTCCTCTTCTGGCCTCCTCCAATACTTCACACATGCAGGACACATACAGGCAAAGACCCATACAAAATAAAATAAAAAGATAAAAAAGAGATTTAAATGAAAAATTAGTATTTTAGATAGGGGAAGCTGATGACTATGCACCCAAGTGGATGTGACCAGTTTTGAAAGTCCTAATTGCCCTGGTCGAGGAATGTCACTTGCTTTCTTGGATGAGCTCCCTGGATGTGTGAGCACAGGTCTAGATGAGCTCCCTGGATGTGTGATGCTCTAGTTGAGCTCCCTGGATGTGTAACTTTCCTTTCCTTTTTGTTATCTGTTTTCACAGCTGAGAGTCTTCCAAGTTAGCCAAATCCTGGCCCACTTTAAACACTCTCATTAAGATCATCGGCCACTCTGTGGGTGCGCTTGGAAACCTGAACGGTGGTCCTGAGCATTGTGGTCTTCATTTTCTCCGTGGTTGGCATGCAGCTTTTTGGCAACACCTTCAACAAGGCCTCCTGTCCTGCACAGGAGCAGTGCATGCGGCGCTGGCACATGGGAGATTGCTACCACTCCTTCCTGGTGGTGTTCCGCATCCTCTGCGGGGAATGGATCGAGAACATGTGGGAATGTATGCAGGCGATGGAAGATTCTCCACTGTGTGTCCATCGTTTTTGTGTCGATCATGGTGGTCGGAAAGCTTGTGGTGAGTCACTTAGGTTTTCTTTTCCATTCAGTATGTGTTGGTCGTTTCCCACCCTCCCTCCCATGCAACGTTTTCTTTTAACCCATCAAGTCCAGTTTGCACTGCTTGTGTTCTGGACGTGTGGCCTTCCACTGAAGTGTGGTTAATTTCCCAGGAGCAACACTTTTAAAAGAAAACCGACCCTCTCCCGGCAGCTGTCAGTTACTCGTATCTCCTTGGGTAGGGGTGGGACTTCATGTTCCCGCCCCCTCTCCAGGCTGGGATTTGGTCCGGGCTTAGGCGTGCACAGGTTTGTACACACTGTCATAACTGCTGTGAGTTCGTGTGTGCAGCTGCCCTGCTATGGCTAGCTGGTTAGGAGGACTGGCTGCTCCTCCAGAGGACCCGGGTTCAATTCACAGCACCTACATGGCAGCTCACACCTGTCTATAACTCAGTTCCAAGGAACTCGATGCCCTCTTCTGGACTCCTTGGGTATTAAGCAAGCATGTGGTGAACAGACATACATGCAGGCAAAACACTCATGCACATAAAAATAAAACAGAAAAAATATCCTTTTGAATTTGACCTGATAAAGATACAGACAGGAGGCAAAACCTCTAACACATGGGACCTGTGTATCACGTTGCTTACTGGACATGCCATGGTGTCTATCCCTGATGCTTGTAGAAACCATGTTCTCTTGGTCAGTGATTGACTAGGCCAGCAGCTGTCAACCTTACTAATGCTACGACCTTCAATACAGTTCCTCATGTTGTGCTGACCTCTGACCATAAAATTATTTCGTTGCTACTTCATAACTGTAATTTTGTTACTGTTATGAATTGTAATGTAAATGTCTGATATGCAGGATATCTGATATGCGACCCCTGTGGGAGTCAAAAACACAGGCTGAGAACCACTGGGCTAAGGGAAGGATGCATGACTTGATTTGGTGGATAAGACAGATATAAAGAGATGTCCACTGGGGAAACATGGGAATGACTTTTCATTCTTAAAAATGTGCACAAGAGGGCTTAGGAAGAGAACTCATATGGAAAAATGCTTGATGTACACACAAGGACCTAAATTCCACCCCAGAATGGATGTAAATGAAGAGCCTTGTGTGGTGGCTGGTCCTTCCATGCCAGTGCTGTGGAAACGTGGACACAGGTGATCCCCGAGACTTGCTGGTTAGTCAGCCTAGTCCAGCTGGTAAGAGCCAGGCCAGGGAGAGACATTGTCTCCAAAAATCAAAACAACAGGTAGATGGCTCCAGAGGGACAAAATCTGAGGTTGGTCTCTGGCCTGTACACCCCTCTCACACAACACAACACACACACACACACACACACACACACACACACACACACACACACACACACTCACACACGAAAGTCCTCCCTCTGGGTCTTCTCATGACTATGATTCCTAGAAGCATTATGTAATGATGTGAACTAATCTGTCTGCAGGTTATAACAGGCCCTTGTTCTTT